ACATGAGTCAAACTACAAACACCGAATAAAATAGTAATGAAGAAGAGTAAAGATGGACCTTTAGCGAGCAACACTTTCTATTATATCAAAGAGAAATTGAACAGCCATACAAATCCAGAAGACCCGAACGGACCTCGAACAACAAAAGAAGCCAACTATCGGTACCTCGATGGTGCCCGAACTCAACCTTTCGGAGCTGCTACTTTTGTGCCAAAAGGGGCTGGGATTCGGACTGTTTTGGAAGTGATTTCCGATGGCTTTTGGTGACTTTAGTGACTAATTTTCATGGAGTTTCGGGCTGTTTTTCAGCAGAGAAAGGTGCTGTGTTTGGTGGTTGAACTTCTGCGTTTTTCAGCTGTGTTTATGAATGTTTGAAGGCTGGTTTTTGGCTGATTTTGCTGGGAAACAGAGCTGCTTTTGGAGGTCGTTTTTGGACTGTTTGGGGGTGATTTTGGATGCTTTTCATGGCTTTTTAATGGCTATGTTGCTGCGTTTTTTCAGCTAAGTTTTGGGGCTGATTTCCATGGCTTTTGATGGAGTTTAAAGGTTGTTTCAATGGCTGAAGGTTTTGCTTGTTTTCATGGTTATTGAGTGAGGAAGATGAAGTAGTTTGGTTTTTTGGGCGTAACTTTCGTGTGTTTGGCTCTTTGGCCAGGAGAAGCTACGACTGCCTCCTTTCTTGCTTATCTCGCTAGGTTTCTTTATGTGTACCCCTTTTACTATAGGCTAGTGTAGCTTATATAGTGTGTGAGATGAATTAGGGAGCAAGGAACCCATGTGCAGGTGATAGAAATTTTTTCTTGAAAGGAATCCTTCTCTCCTTTCCAAATGCAATCAAAAGAAAAAATTTGTTAGTCAAGTGGTTAAGAGCATGTGATGAACGGAAATGGAATTGACAATGCCATAGTGAATGAATCTTTTGCAACTTGGCCCTACTGAAATAAATAAGAAAAACTGTATAAGAGTATGGCAGTGTAGTAATGATAGCAATAAAATTGAAACAATAATAACATATCAAGGTTAGCTTCACGGAACTAAAGCAAATAATGCAACACCGAGAAAATGAGGAATGATATGCTAAGGAAACAAAACAACCAAAGACAAGTGCAGTAATAGAGAAATACCGACAAGAGTCACTACCGAGATACCGCCTCATAGCTTCAAATCACAAGAATAATTCACAATCTTTCCTTATATCATCGTGGGAGCCTTGCATTTAGTTTTGAAAATCATTTTACCGAAATAGCACCCCGTATTTTATCACACCGCATGACTTCTAGTAGTTCCCCTACTAGCCACGCGTATCAAGCCCACCTTATCTCACCGCATGCGTTTCAACTCCAAAACCTTATACAACCACATGCGTATCAATATCAAAACGTATCACAAATCGCACCTCAAGTGCCAAATATCACGACTTGCCAAAAAATCAACAATAACAGTATTTTCACAATAAAGAGCCAATGGCTCAACCACAATGTACACAAGAGTCTCAACAATAACAACCGTAAGTGAATAACTCAACTGAATAGTATTTCACAACTTAAAACTTGGCCTCAATGTGAATCACGACCTTTATAACTCAATACCAGTTTCATCAACAAGATATTCCAAGAACAACAACTTCAAGTAAAGAATTCAACGGTCAAATAATGAATATGGAATAAAGGAAATAAGAACTTCAACTAAACATGTAGAGCAATTAACAAGTAAGAGATAAGACAAGTAGAGCATGTGAAAATAGACTAGTGATGATGAAGATAAAATGTTAAGATAATTCAATTAAGGCATGAAAGGAATCTACATAGCTAAAACCGATAAATTTCTATATTTAGCCCGTGTACACACTCGTCACCTTGCGTACACTGCTTTCACACATCATATTTATCACAAAACAATACGAATCCTAAAGGGTAATTCCCCCACACAAAGTTAGACAAGACACTTACCTCAAAACACGCTACGCAATCCACTAGTAGGTCATTCCCTCGATTATCCAACTCTGAACGGCTCGAATCTAGCCAAAATAACTTTATACTATAAATATAAACTATAGAAAACTATTTCAAATAATAAAATTATGATCTTTGCAGGGAAATAAAAAGTCAACTCAAAAATTCAAACTTGGACCGCGTCTCGGAACTCGACAAAAATTATAAATTCAAAACACCCAATCGATAATGACTCCAACCATACAAGAATTAATCAAATCCGACCTCAAATCGTCTTTCAAATCCCCAAATTTTAGCATAAGAAGTTTTCACATTTTTTCCTTAAATTTTCAACTCAAATCACTAATTAAATAATAAAATTAACAATAGATTCATGTAATTTAACCAAAATCGAGTTAGAATTTCTTACCCCAATATTTTTCTTGAAAATCTCCCAAACTATCACCATAAACCAAGCTCTCTAGGTCAAACAATGGATTATGAAATCAAACCCTCGAAATTAGGCCTTTAATGCCCAGCGATTTCGCTTTTGCGGGCCTTTAGTCGCATCTGTGACGCCGCACCTACGGAAAAACTATCGCAGGTGCAGTTTCCACTTAGGCCATGACTTTTTGCTTCTGCGGACAAAACGCGCAGCTGCGCATCCACTTTTGCGGACTAAAACATGCTTATGTGGACTAAAATGCGCTTCTGCGCACTCGCTCCTACGGGCAAGGCCCGCTTCTACGACAATAGACCAAGCTAGCCCTGTCCGCATCTACGACCACTCTTCTGGACCTGCGAACTCGCAAATGCAGATATCTCCTAACACCTACTATCCCAGCTCCGCAAAGCCAGCTTCGCTTTTGTCATCATCTCCTCACTTTTGCGTGTCCGCACCTATGGCCAAACCCTCCGCAGGTGCGATGACACTAGAACAGCAGTGGTTCAGCAATTGCACAAGCCCAAAATTATTCCAAATTCAATCTGTTTCACACCCAGGGTCCCCAGGACCCTGTCCGAATATACCAACAAATTTTAAAACACCTAACGGACCTACTCGAGGACAAAAATCACATCAAACAACATCGATTCAACGAATCACAATCCAATTCAAGCCTATGAAACTATGAACTTCCGAATTCCAAAATTAATGTCGATTCCTACCAAAACAATTCTGGTTGACTTCAAACTTTGCACACAAGTCATAAATGACATGATGGACCTATTCCAACTTCTGAAATCGGGATCCGATCCCGATATCAATAAAGTCAACTCACGATCAAACTTTCCAATCTTCCGAACCTTAAATTTTTTAACTTTTGCCAATTCACGCCGAAACGACCTACGGACCTCCAAATCAACATCCGGACATGCTGCTAAGTCCACAATTACCCTACAGAGCTATTGGAACCGTCAAAATAGCATTCCGGAGTTGTCTACCTAAAGTCAAACTACGGTCAACTCTTTCAACTTAAAGCTCCAACTTAGGGACTATATGTCCCATTTCACTCTGAAACTTACCCAAAACCAAAAGCAAACACCCCCGGTAAGTCACGTAACCATAATACAATATAGAGGAGATAATAAATAGGGGCTCGAGGCTAAAATACTCAAAACGACCGGCCGGGTCATTACAAGAATATTATACTAAAGGATTGAGAAAAAAGGGGGAAGAGTATTTATTAGCACATGAGCAAATATTTAACAAGTAATTCGACCAAAGAGTGTTAAAATAATTATCTCAATATATAATGAGTAAAGTAAAAGAATTATTTTGATGATTAAAGAATGAATGTTATGTAGGAAGAATGTGTCAAAATGTTTGACATACAAAACTATTGTATCAATATGAAGAAGTGTTCGCGCTAAAAAATGAGTCATCATTCAATAAGGAACCAAGACCATTTTTAGAGTCATGGACTTGAAACACAAATTATGTGAGCCAAGCCCAAATAACTACAAGGCCCAAGTCTCTCAAAGAATAGCATAATAATTCAATTAAAACTTCTTTATAAATTATGTCTACTCAAAACGTGTTAATTGAAAAGTAATGTATATATAGAGAGATTCGAAAGGCATGCTAGTATAACTTTAAGAAAATACGATAATATGATTTTTTATTTTTATTTTTATGAAAAAGAGGATGACATATTTTTATTTTAGGTAGACAACTAACCTAATTGATTATGTATATGAAAATTCTAATTAATCGACCAAGTTTAAAAATATATTTGACAACCTAAGTGTTCATACAAATTATGCGAATTATCTAATGTACAATATTATAAGTTAACTGGATTATTAACTAAACGCAATTCACCCAAAGTGTTTGGAAAATAGGTAAACATCAAAGCAAATGCGACATATATCTACTACTTTACTATACTTTACGTTTTGAGTAAAACCGGGAATGGGAAGTACGAAGCAGGGAATTTGGTGGGGTTCGTCTTCGTCTCTGAGCGTCGTCTTTCCAAAACGTTTTTGTATAAAGTATCTCGCAAGATAAGAGAAACGAAATTATTAGAGACATAATATAATGTAAAAGATAAAGTAATAAAGTAACATGTTTTGGAAATGATTTTCGTTTTAAAATGTTTTTGGAAAATCATTTTTCGAAAATGTTTTTGTTTTTGAAAGATTGTTTTTTTTTTAAAAAAAATTGGAAATTATTTTTGGAAAATAGATTTGAAAAATAGTTATAAAAATAATATAGGAAGATACACTTTTGAAAATAATTTAAAAATATTTTTTGAGGCTCGGATGGTGTATGCCATATAGAAATAAGACATTAGAACGTGAACGCCGACATGGTAGCAACTCCGGTGGCCAACTGTGTTGCCTTCCAAAGCGCGGATCGTTGCATTTTTCTTTTATTTTTCCTTTGGCTTTCGTCGTCGCTTCGTTTTTCGGGCCCAGTTCGGAGGGTTATTCGGGGTGTCCTGGCCTCAAAATTTATTCTCATCGGCCTAGTATTGTAGCACTGTATTATACTAATCCGGTCAATATCCAACATCAATAACCAATGAGAATTAGAGCAGTGGAGAAGCCGAAATTTTTACCAAGGGGTGAAAAAATATTAAAAAAATAGATATACTAAAAAGTTTAGGGGAGTCAACGTATAGTAAATATACATAAAACAGAAAATTTTATCTAGCAATACAACGTAATTTTCCGGCGAAGGGATGTCGATTGACACCCCTTGGTTAAATGTGGCTCCGTCACTGAATAGGAGCAGCGTGTTACTCAATCAACTAGAAGACAAGAAAAGTGTCATGGCAACAACGGTAAGATCAACAAAGTGAATGAAATCCTTTTAGTGTGGATGCCCGAAGGTCCTCGTCCAAGTCTCCCACAGTTTTGCACTTCAGTTTTCCAAATAAAACACAGTAAGTAATCAAGCAATAGCGGGAACGGAAAAATAACCAAACATCGCTAACGAAAGAAACAAAAAACAGTAGCTATAGCCCAGATAGGAGTTCCATTTCCTCATAATAAAATATCAAAGGTGTAACATTCAAGATTCCGGCCAGATCTGGTATAATTCCCGTTCACCATAAGTAAATCCACCAACAACATAAAAATACCAAGACAAACGGATAGTGACCGGAAAACCAGCAGACCGTCGGAACAAAATCACCGGCGGTGACTCGCGTTATAGAGGTCGCCAAAAAAATTCCAATTCTGGCCAGGTCTGCCTGTGTTTAGCCAGCGAACAAAACTATTTTTTTTTGATTTGGTTTTATCTTTTATAATAGCACATGAAGATGAGAAATAAGAGATGGGGAAGAAAGGGATCTGCCAGCATAAATTTCTCCGGCGAGATCTGAAAATCCCGACGTGTTTTAAACCTGCAAAACCAACAAAAATGAGTTAGGTATGAAATAAAAGTGAAGAAGAAAGAAGGAAGAGAGGGAGTAAAAGAGAAGCAGTGGTTGCCGGCCTTTGGACTCGCTGGATTTGGCCATTTTCGGCGATGTGACGGTGAAAAATAAGAGGAGAGGTGAAAGGGAAGAAAGAGTAGCAGTGGCGTCACCGCCTGGCCGGTCATCACCTCCGGCAATGGCGACAAATAGTAGCAACATAATTAGGAAGACAATGAAGCAAGGTTGGCAGCTGCCATGGTATACAATCACCGATCGACGGTCAACTCCGGCCGACATCAGTACCTAAGAGAAGCAAACGGCTGAAGGTTTCTCAAAAATGAATAATGAGAGAGAGAGCTATTCAAAGGGGGTTAAGGTTGTTCCTCTTGAATAATGAGAAAAGATGGGATTTTTACTAGGGTTTTCACCCTTTTCAAAAATCTAATGTGTTGTCTTTTTGTAGTGTAGTGGGTATGTATTATATGGTGGGGTATGGTGTATTGAATAGAGTAGGTAGATATTTTGTAGTGGGTCTTTACCCATTGGGTAAAAGTTGTGCTTATTCAAATCAAATGTCATGTCACATCAAAGTCACATCAAAGATCAAAGTGTTATCAAAGTCACAATAGATGTCTAGTCACATCTAATGTGTCATCACATCGGACGTTGACGGGATATCGAATTTGATCGGACTTGATCCGTATTTTGAAATAAATTCTACTGACTTCTGTGTAATTAATATACTATGTTATATAAGACAAATGTTTAATTAATCAAGAAATCTTGTAGTATTTATTTAAAATTGTAACTACTATGATGACGTAGTAATTGTTATTTTTTTTAAGGATAATAAATTGATAGAAATTCTAATATGTGAAAAATAGGACAATAATCAATAAATTATTTTGATTTTTTGGAAAAATGCATAAAAATGGTAGTATTTGACTAATTGTAACAAAAAGATAAAAATTCCTATATTTTGTAAAAAACAATAAGTATAATTATCAATAAATTGCATAAGAGCTAAATAATATGTAAAATACTATATTTTATCGTTTTTGATTCGGAAACCTGCATAAGTTAATTTTTAAATACAAAGGGTCAAAATTGAGTGTCAACAGCTGTCCTCTTCGACCGGAGATGATGTAAGAGTCTTCGGGCAAAACAATTGACATCATACTCAATTTTGCCCCGACATGACAGAGTGGGAATGAGGATATTTTGAAGGTTGTGACCGAACTCTGATTTCTGAGTTGCCTACATATCTCTGGTTGCACGAGAATTAGGTCGCATGTAGTTCTTGAAGATTGAGTATTACTTATGAATCATAGCCTCATTGAGTGGAAAACAATTGTTCGAGGACAAAAAGGTTCGTGTGATCTCGATATTGCTTCCATAATTGCCTCAGTATCGGACTGTGGTAACACTGGGGCGTGGATGTTGGATGATGGATGGATTGATTGAATGGACTTTGATGTAGATGTGGCCGGGCTCTGTGTTGAGCTTTCCTACATATCTCGTATGTAATGAGAATCAGACCGATTGTAGTTCGAGAAGCGATGGGATGATTTTGATTTTGAAAATTGCCCCAGCGTCAAGCTGTGATGACACTGGTTTTATTTTGACCATGGGGGTTCAGATTACCTACACACTCTATGTCAATGGGACGTGAGAACGATACTTGGGACATGCCGTCAATTATTGTTGGAAAGATCGACATTCGTCCTCAAAATCTGCACCAGTTTATTTGCTAGAAGATAATTCCACGTCGTGTCGCGTCTGTGAATAGTAGAGTTGACGATGTGTGGACTATGCTTTCGTTTGGATTGAGAAAGATGGACATGTAATTTTTTAGTGAAATAGGGTCCCAAGTTGGAACTCTAATTCGAAAGAGATCCGTGCTAGACACCGGTCCGAAGTGATCAGAGCACTTTGGATTTTGAAGAAAATTTGGGTTGTATACCGGTCCGAAGTGATCGAAGCACTTGAAATATTAAAGAAAATTCGGGCTATGTACCGGTCCGAAGCGATATCGGAGCATTTAAATCTAAAATACCCGTATTAGAAAATGGGCACCTGTAAAATTTGAACTTGAAATGAAATTCCCATTGTTCAGGAGGGTGCCTAAAAAGTTTGGTTTTAAAATGAAATGCCCATTGTTTAGGAGGGCGCCTGGGAAAGCAAGAAGCTATTATTTCTATGTAGAAAAAATTAAAGAAAAGGGTTCTGTTATTAATGACTCATGTAGGCAATAGATATAAAATGATGGAATTTTGGAATGATATGGCCGGGTCTAACTCAGACTGCCTATGTATACCAATGAAAATCAGGCCAAGACGTAGTTCGATTACAAAAGATGACTGAATCCGATGCAGATTGCCTATGTATTCCTACCAAAGGAAATAAAGTCGTGGCGTAGTTCCAAACAATTAGAAATGATTTTATTTTATTTTTGGTTTTTCTATTACAAGAGTGGGACCGGACCCTACGTGGGTTGCCTACGTATCTCCCGTGGGAAGTCAGGTCGAGCGTAGTTTTATTACAACAAAACCTAACAAAACTTGACTCTTTTTGTTTCTGCATTTTTTGCTGTTTGTAGATTTTTATAGAGAATATTTGAAAATTTGAAGAGTAAAGAAAGACTGATTTATTGACCGATCAACATTTTTTGACTTGATTTTGGTTGGTACCAACAGTTAATTTTGTGCAAAAGAAATTTTTACCATATACTTTCCAGCAAACCGTGATCAGCTTATGGGTAATTGCTATAGCTTCGAATGGTACCACATGTATACCTAAGTTCGACAAAATTTGTTCATCTTTCTTCAATCAAAGGTTTTGAATTTAGCCTAATATCACGTTTCAAGTGCCCTCACCACAAATAAAGTCCTAATTTTCACACATATTTGAAGTATTTTTTTGTATTTTGACTTTTAGGACATTTTGAGAAGTATACTCACTCAGAAAGATGTTTAATGCATGCAATTGAGTTACCATATGCTTGGACTTTATGTGAGTATCCACTAGTGTGAGAACACTTGGAATAGGATCATGTAGGGCTTTGTTTTTGTCTTGTAATGTAGGCTTGGGGATGGGTAGGATACTCATTCGAGATAAAAGTGACTAATTCTCCTTGAGAACTACACTGTGTATGTGTCTTCGGAGTTCTACCCATGCTTCGGCGCTTGATCTTGTTTGGCTCGACATACCTTTCTTTGCTTTGACTTCTTTCAAGCTTGTCATCTTGTCAGAGGTTCTTCTTCCTTCTCTAGAGATTTTCTTTTTTTTTTCTTTTTTTCTCTTTTTTTTTCTTTTGAAGTTTCTCTTTCTTTGCAGGAGTTTTTCCTTCTTTTTGTTGGAGTTCCTCCTCTTTGAATTTGTGGAGTTTTCTCCCTTTCGTAGGACTTTTCCTCGAGTTTACGGAAGTTTTCCTCTTCTTGTTGTATCCTCCTTTTGAATTTGCGGAGTTTCCTGTTTCTTTTCTTAGTCATGTCTTTGGTTGTCTTGGACTTTGCATCTTTTGCCTTTACATGCTTATCGCCTTCACGTTGGTTTTCGTCCGAAGTTACACATTTTCAGTGCGCGTAAGGAGGTTAGTCCAAGAGAGGGGTAGTGCTCGTAAGCACAAAGAAGGGTATAGGCTAAGATGTGGTTTGTCCAAGAAAAAGGCTTATGTCTCAAATGGGGCAATGTTAGGGATCAATGTCATTTGGAAGGCTTGAAAAGCTTAGACGGATCAAATAAGGCCTACGATCCTTTCCCAAACCAAGTGTTGCTCAGGATTTTACCTCAACAGACATTCAGTCCAAGTTCTAGATCTACAATGTAATGCAATGAATTTTAAATCTAAAGCTCACCACACAATGCACAAGTAACGATGAGCTCGGCTTTGTTCTTACCCTAACTATAAGTAGGAGATTTTTCAAGCGTCACTAGGCATAATTAAGAGATATCACAAGATTTTGTGGTTTATTCGAAACTGATCCTCTCCATCATACCACTTAAACACTTTTTCTTTCCCATGCGCACTCCTAACTGTGCTGGTACCAACCAAGTAAAATTTTGATGGCAATTTTTGACCTCTTCTTCTTCTTCTTCTTCTTCTTCTTCTTCTTTGCTTTTTAATAAATGGGACCAAACCCGAGTAAAGGTTCCCTTTTTTTTTGGATTTTTGGATTTTGACTTAAAAAAATTCTCTTCCTTTTTTGAATTTTTGACTTAATCAATTTTTTGTTTTTGTGATTTTTGAAAATATGAGACCGAACCCGAAGGTTGCCTACGTATCTCGTTGAAATGAGAATCAAGTCAAGCGAAGTTCAGGAAGGGTGGAAAGAAAATATTTTTAGATTTTTATTTTATTTTAATTTATTTTTTTTAATTTTGAGTTAATCAACTTTTTGTACTTTTTGATAAAGAGAATTGAATGTAAAACGGGCTTTGTGGTTACCATTCCTAAGCGCTATCAGAGCATTGAAAGTTAGATGGTCTTTGTTATCGTTCCGAAGCGATATCGAAGCATTGATTGTTTCTATTACAAAAGAAGAGAGAGAGAGAGAGAGAGAGAGAGATCGGGCCCTACGTGGGTTGCCTATATATCCCTACGTGGGAAGTCAGGTCAAGCGTAGTTTCGTTACAACCAAAACATAACTTTACTGTCTTCAAATGTAGTATCTCTTGATTGCATATGAGTTGATATGCTTCGTGCTGACTCTTTCGTCCATCTTTACTAAGATCAGAGCTCCTCCCGACAATACTCGATGGACCACGTAAGGACCTTTCTAATTTGGCGCAAACTTTCCTTTAGCTTCTTATTGATGAGGGAATATCTTCTTCAAGACCAACTACCTCGGTGTAAATTGATGAGGTTTCACCCTCTTGTTGAATGCACTGGACATACTACTTTGATACAGCTGACCATGGCACACTGTGTCCATTCTTTTCTCATCAATGAGCATGAATTTCTCCTGCCTGACCCTTATCCATTCTGCGTCATCTAACTTGGCTTCCTGAATGACTCTCAAGGATGGTATCTCGACCTCTGCGGGTATCACATCTTCGGTGCCATATACCAACATGTATGGCGTATACCCTGTGTAGGTTCTCACGGTGGTCCGATAATCTAACAGGGTGAAGGATAACTTCTCATACCACTGCCTATGATTGTCCATTATTTTTTGTAGAATCCTTTTGATGTTTTTGTTGGATACTTCAACGGCCCCATTCATTTGCGGCCTGTAAGCTGTAAAGTTATGATGGACGATTCTAATTTTTTGTAAATTCCGCTCATGAGATCATTATTGAGATTGGTTGCATTGTCAGTGATGATTGATTCAGGTATCCCAAATTGGCAGATTATGTTGTTACGAACGAAATCGAACACTACTTTCTTCATGATAGATTTGTATGTAGAAGCTTCGACCTATTTGATGAAGTAGTCAATGGCTACCAAGATGAA